TATATATATATGACCTTAAAACTTATGAAATTGACCATTTAAATACATGCAGTTTATCGTAGGTCAAAAAGCTTTTCTTTGTCTTTTTGAGATGGGGTCTCCCTGCAGCCTCAACTGGCCTGGAACTCACTATATGGACCCGGCTGGCCTTGATCTCACAAGAGATCTACTTGCCTCTGTCTCCCGAGTGCTGTGATTATAGGCGTGTGTCACCACACCCTGCTCCAATACAGTTATTTTTAAAAAGACTCAGTGTAGGCTGGGGGAGATAGCTTAGAGGCTAAAGTGCTTGCCACAAAAGCCTGATCCCCAGAACCTTTGTAAAAACCAGACATGGTAACAAATGGTCTTTAATCTCTATACTCCTAGGGGAAGATGGGTGGTGGAGACAGGAGAATCGTGGGGAGTGAACATCGATGAGAGACCCTGTCTCAAACAAGATGAAAAGGGAGAACTGACACCTGAAGTTGTCCTCTGACCTCAGCATGTGTGCTGTGTCACATAAACACCCACACTCACACTCATTCTCACCTCAATACATATATATGTATATATATCATACATACAACATATATGCAAAATAAAAATTTTAAAGGCTCAGAATAGACATCACCCTGACTAGAATCTTCTATGGTTTCCCCAGTATCTACAGAATCAAGGCCCTTTTTGCTCTGGTTCCAAGCATCTCCACAGCATTGTCTTTTAACATTGTTCTACACAAATCCTTTGCTTCAAACTATTTTTTGCTATTTTCTAGAATTTTCCATGGGTTTCCCACCTTGGTAGCCTTACTCACTGTTTTAGAAAGCCCTCTTCTGTGACACTGCCCTCCCTCTACTTGAGAACAGTTTGCCCTCCTGGGAAGGCTTAGACTATACAGTCTTTTGTGAAGCCTTTTTCTTTCATCAGGAATGTTGTCTCTTCTTGAACTGCCCTAGTGCTTCTCAGGTGGTGTTTACATGCTGCCCTGTGCTTCTCTATGTATGTGTGCATGTCCTAAGTAAATGTAGCTAGACCACTGGCTTCTTGAGGCTAGGGCTATGCATTTTATTCATCCTTGAACTCCCAGTGGAAAGTGGCACAATTCTTTTTTACAGATATAGGGTGGTCAAATATTGACTAAATAGCCAAAAATAGTTTCTCAGCACTCTGCCCATAAAATCTTTGAGCCTTTAAATTGTTAGTTCACCCAGTCTTCTCTTTCTTCCCCACCACATCGTCCTCCATTTCATCCTAATCAAAGCAGATGCTAAGATTCTCACACCTAGGCATTCCTACTACCTTAGCTTTTCTTTCCCCTCTCCCCTGTCTCTTTCTCTGAGTGCCACAGGATACATGTGGAGGTCAGACAACAATCTCAGGTGTCAGTCCTCTTTTCCACTTCAGGCAGGGTCTCTCTTCTTTTCTACCCTATATAGCAGGTTAGCTGGCCCCTGACTCTCTAGGGATTCTTCTATCTCATCTCCCCACAGGAGCACTGAGATTACAGGTGCTTTCAAGTGCACTTAGGAAGAAAATGCTTTACTCACTGAGCAGGGCCTTTCCTGGTCCTTGTTTGAACCTTGTATTTTGGCATTATTTTATATTCTCTTCACATGATAAATAAGAGCCATTACCCAATACATTTCAAGTAGTAGCTATCCTTAATCTTATTCATTTTTCCTTATCCCCCTTCCAATTCTTGGCTATAGATCATAATGATCAAGACTTCAGGGGGGATGGGAAGATGGCTCAGTCAGTTGAGTGCTTGCCACTCAAGCATGAGGACCTCAGTTCAGATTCCCAGTACCCTTACAAAAAGCTGGGGGCTTTTAGTTCATTTGTAATCCCAGTGCTGGGGAGACAGAGACAGGAGGATGCCCTGGGCTTGCTGGCCAACCAGTACAGCCAAATGGATGAGCTCCAAGTTCAGTGAAAGACCCTGTCTCAAACACATATACACAGACACACAGACCCCCCCCCCCCAATTTCAGGTACTGGAGTAAGATCCAGTGACTCAATGTGGAATTTTACTGAGATTTCATTTCCTCATTTGTAAAATTGAGGATTTAAAATTTGATCTATTTATTTATTGTGGGGGTCAAACAGTCGAAGTCACTTCTGGGTGGAACCTGGCTTGCTGGAGTGATAGGAACAAAGACTCCAGAATGACAGGGATCTAGGTGTCTGCAGGAGACAATTCTACTTAACACTGAGACCACTCTTCTTAACAGAGTCCAGATTTTGTTTGGAGTATCTGTAAACCCATGGGATGGCTCAGCAGGTAAAAGTGCTGGCGCTCAAGTCTGAAGACCTGTGTTTAATCCCCAGAATCCATGGTAAAGAAGCAACTCCCAGAAGTTGTCCTCTGACCTCCACACATGCACTGTGTCACATGTGTGCTTGCACACACACATACACACACACAGACACTAATAAAATTTTAAAATATTCACCACCTTCCCAGACTCCCTTACAATTGGGTTGGTCATGTGACACAATTTATACAAAAGTCAGGTAAATTCTGAGAACATTTTTGCTTTCCTGACCCTGTTTCTCTCTTTACCTTGTATTTCCCTCTTCTTACTGCCTGAACATGGATAGAAGGGTTGGAGATGCAGCAGCTGACTTGCTATCATGAGTAAAAATGGGAAGGAAACAAGTAGAATGTGACAGAGCTAAAAGCTGAAAGGATCGTAAGCCCTGTGACAGCACTGAGCAGTTCTCAGCTCTGGATGGCCTACCCCTAGATGTCCTGTGGGAGACAAAGGGCTGTTTAAGGCAGAGATAATTTTGTCTGGTTATTTGTACTATACAGAACAAACTGAAAAAAGGGAAAATCTGGGGCTGGAGAGATGGCTCAGCAGTTAAGAACACTGGTTGTTCTTGCAGAAGACCCGGCTTTGAATCCCAGCACCCACATGGCAGCTAACAACTGTCTGTAACTCCAGTTCCAGGGGATCCAATAGCCTCGTCTGTCCTCTGTGGGTATTGCACGGCATGGGTGCACTTACCTACATGCAGGCAATACACTCATACACATAAAATATATTTTAAAAAAGGAAAATCCGGGGCTGGAGAGATAGCTCAGCAGTTAAGAACACTGACTGCTCTTGTAGAGGACCTGGGTTCGAGTCCCAGCACCCACATGGCGGCTACAAACTGTCCTTAACTCCAGTTCCAGGGGAATCCAAAGCCCTCTTCTGACCTCCGTGCATTGCACGACACGGGCACACTCACATACATGCACATACAATAAAAAGGAAAATCCTAGAAGTATGTCCAATTTAGTGGACATTTGTGCAGCTCTTCCTTTTCTCCAGCTGTGAATAATTTTCTGCAGTTGTACAGTGAGGGTCCTAAATCCAATATCCTATGTTTTCTCAACTATAAGATGGAAGAATTGGGTTCTAAAGAACTGGCTGCTGAAATAAAGGTCTTTCTCTTGGTGTTAGGATTATGGGGGAATCAGAAGTGTCTAGACATATACAGTACCTATGACACCTTCCCTATGGAGATGCTGTATCCTTATCAAAGCGAATGCTAAAATCTCTATTTGTTCCTGTGGGGAGGAACGTGTGATTCTTGGCATCCTTTTCCTGGCGTCACACATTTGAGAGTAAGAAATCTGCTACCCTCTCCCTTGCTGGGGTTGGGGTTCAGTGTGGGGTGCCATTCTTACCTGCCCCCAGCATAGCTTTTATAGGATCAGGCTAGTGCCTCCAGCACCCTCTCTGCCCACTGCATCCTGCAGGTCCTGTTGCCTTCCTGGCATAGCCAATTCAATGTGATAATGTCTGCCATTACTGCATTGGTGGACCCAATTGTATCAGAGTCAGTGCAATGAAAGCCCTTGCCAACTTTCCAGGTCATAATGCAGTAAATAAAAAGGGATTTTTTTTTTTAAAGCAAATATGCTCTTCCCTCATTAACAAAAAAAAAATTACATGGCAAAAATGTAAAATGTGGGCTGGGAAGGTAGCTCAGTCATGAAAGCAGTTAGTTGCCTTCAAACATGAGGACCTGAGTTCAGTCTCTAGAACGCATGTAAAAATGCCAGATGTGGTGGTAGGTGCTTGTAATCCCCATGTTGGGGAGGTACATGCAGGAGGATCCCATGACTCACTGGGTAGCAGTCTAGCTTTACCAGTGTGTGCGAGGTCAGTGAGAGACCCTTTGTCAAAAGAAGTGAATGGTATTCCTGAGGATGACACTTGAGGTTGTGCTCTGGCCTCCACACACATACATGTGCATACACATACACACATACACACATGAACACACATGTATCCACACACATAAAAAATAAAAAAGTAAAAAATCTCCTTTTACTACAAAAGAAAATCACACAATGAGATGATCGTGCTGTGCCTTTGCATAGACATGGTTTCCTCTCCCCTAAGTCTCCCCGTAGTTCAGGGCAGGAGTTCTGTCCCATCCATGAGTGCATTTCCTGGTGAGTGTGCTGTGACCTTCTCTCAAGCCTTCCAGTTCACGTGCTCGTCCCTCATGGCCTTGACAAGCCAATCCCTCTCTGACCCCTGCTCAGAGTCACTGGTATCACTCCCCCCCATAGCCAGCAGCTTTGAGTAGTTGGTCTTCCGCTCTTGGGGGAGTCTGGGCTGGATGGATAGGAACAAGGCCAACCAGAGCAACAGGACCATGCAGCAGGCTTGGTAGAGCACAGCCAGACTGAAGCGCATCACCACAAAGCCTCCAACAAAACTGCCCACGCTACAGCCACCCTCATATAAGTGGCCTTGGAATATGGTGCTCAGAGATCTGTCCATGCCAGAGGTGGCCCGGTTCTCTATGGAGGCCCTCATAGCCCACCACAGAGCCCCATTGCTGATGGCACCCAGGATCTGAACAGGGAGGACAGACCACCAGCTCCAAAGGAAAGAATAGTAGAGCAGCTGTGCAGCCAGGCAACCCAGCCCCAGGGCCACCACGCCCACCTTGGACAGCTTCCTAAGCATTGAAGTTCTAAATGGATGAAGCAGAATTTCTCCTAGCAAGCTGAGAGCCACTGAGAAACCCATCACGAGCTCGCTACTGCCATGGTCCTGCATGAGCCAGAATAGAAAGTTCTGCACAGTGCTGGCAACGACTC